AAGAGGTTTTCTGACATTTTTCTGTGTATCGAGGGACACTGATAATATCAATTTGCACCATTCCAGTGTTCAATCAGACGTCCCTGGTTACTTATGTTCCTTAAGCACGTGTAGCATATATTGATTATACCGTTGCTCTCTCAATCCCATATACTCGTCATAAGAGACTATTACAAATGGTGGCCTCCATTGAATTATTCCGAAATGTTGCAGTTTTGCATCCACCCCTTTTTCGATAATCCATCGATGTGAAACTTGACAGAAAGTTCCAAACACGTTTTCTTAATATTTACAAAATATTTCAGAGCATTCTAACACTTCTGTGCATCTTCAGCATTTTCAATGTTGTTCAGGTGGGATTGTTCCGGTAATGGCGAAATGGAAGGGGGCAAAATTCATTCGTGTTGTCTTACTCACTTTGCTGAATCATTGATTCGTCTGCCATTTCAACCTTGAATTATCACAAAGCAAATTCGTTCCTGAAATTTTGTGTCTGATTATTCAAACATTTTCCCGCAATTTCTGGTTTGAAGGAATCTAATTGGTCGAGAAGTAAACTATCTATCAATCAAAATTAATGACGAGAATATGGCATCGCGAGAGCTACCAGAGCTTGAAGGAACGTGCTGGTTACTGTAATTCAACTAAAACTAAGTGTTTAATGACGTCACTAATCGCAAAATATGCATGTATCATATAAGGACTACGCTATTAGTGACGCCATGATTAGTTTTAGTGAAATTGCAGGAACCACAGACGTCTGATTGAAAATTAGAATGAAGCAAATCAGTGTCATTGATATACATGAACAGTTTCAAAAACCTCATTACAATCCCGTTAATCTTTACACGACTTGGTACCACTGGAGTTAAATTATTTCAGTCTATTTTATTTACTATTTACCTCCATATGACTAATAAAAATATCTATCATTTCAATGATGCCCCAAGGCCTTGATTTATACAAAACGTGTTCCTCTAGAATTTTGTCAAGGCGGACGTGCAGAAAGTGTTTCACTCGACTTAACTCTGTTCAATATTTCTACTGGATTCATTAACTTATATACATAGCTAGGTATTCTGTATTTTTCTCCATAAAATATTAAACGCTTGGATCGAGTGATATCTTTAAATATGAGGCGAATTGAACATAATTTTGAGGCGGTGGTAAATATTTCAAATAAGTCGAATCGAATGAAGGATCAGGGGTTCAAGTCACAAGCTGAACTGACAACCTAGTTAAAGCTCTGTAATCAATTAATTTTAAAGACTTTTTGTTTAAATATCCAGTATTATGGGTAACCCTATGTAAACTGAGGAATGTGTAAGATGTCCAATAAAACAATTATAATATCCAAGAATAAACTAAAGTGAAAATCAAGTTCTTCAGATTAAAAAAAAATGTAGCCACTGTAATAATCAGATTTTGTACAAAAATGACAAACTTAGCAATATTGTTTAATAATACTTTTAAAATATTGTGGTAACCCTAAAAACGCTGGTTTGACCTGGGGTGAACATCAATTATGTAAACGGCAGTGTCGTTAGTAGATTTTTTGCAAATTTGCAATATTTTTAGCTAAATAATAAAATAATGAACAAAACACTTAGATAAGGTCAAAGTCAATCGAAAACAATTGGTAACAAAACGAAATGACCTCTTCTTTTAAATTATATATTGAAAGTTTTAATCACTTTGTGAGAGATAACCCAATCCTTTATTAATAAAACACTTTAACATCTTCAATTATCAATCTTACTTCTATTGTTTTCAACTCGTCTCAATTCACGAAATGTTAAAATGATGTAAAGACATACAAAAGACGAAAAAAATCAAATTTGTTAATTCTTAATCAAATAATTATGTTTACAATCCTTCACTGAATTCAACCTTTTGAACTTGATTTGTAATATATTGGTAACAATGTGGATACAATAGACTAGATCATCCTTGAGAGTGAGATCTTTAATAAGATTGTTCAATAACCACAATATTATTATTTACTATTCATTTATTATTGTTTACAAGTTAGTTAATTATTACTTATTTAAATCAATTGAAGAATATTAATCAAAGATATTGTTTTTGTTTACTATTTGGTATTAATGACTTTATTTATAAAGAAAAGTGGCCATTGTCAACTCGAGGTTATTCGACACTCCGTCTATGTCATGACTTAACATATTTCTAACTACGAATGAAGTTTTTAAAGGAAATTACTGGTTAATTAATGAATAATTATCAAATGACATTGTGTCAAACGATATAGGGGGTCCTGATGATAAGGTCATAGAATAATATATAATATATCATCATAATAATTTAGTCAAAACGTTAAAAAACAATAAAAATCATAAAATCATGGAAAAGTTCAATTCCACTTTGTTTTCAAACATTGTATCACAGTATGATCCTGCAGTCAAGATGAAAGTAGAAGTCAAAGAACAGAACTTCAAGCAATAGAAGGCGATGGGTAAAATGGAATGGGACAAAAAAAGATGAGTTTTTAAGAAGGGAAGAAATGAAATGAAATGAATGTAGTTCTACGTCCTACTTTTCTGCACCATGTGGGATATTGAAGACAGGCAACGCCATGCAGGGCGGAATGAGGGAAATTTTGACAGGACAGCGGCATTAGCCTGCACTTTTTCGATTTCCAACTGTCGAGGGATCTTTAACGTGCAAAGCCTGTAGCACACAGGGCCTCGGTATATTGTCCCATCCGAACGACTAGACGTTTTTTTCATGTCAGCCCTTTTACCCGCATCACTGACAGGGGGAAACCAGGTTGAAAAATCCAAAGGTATTATCTCGACCTTTGCCGGGATTGAACCCTGGACCTTCAGGTTAGTGAGCAAGCGTCTAACTCACTGAGCCACCGCGGCTTCCTCCTGTTCAAGAAAAGATGAAATTGTAAGAAGGGAAGGAAGAAAGTCTAAAAGAAAGTAATAAAATAGCAAAGATTAAGGGGGGGAAGGGAGTTAATTCAATCGATCTAGAGTCTTGAAGGGTTAATGGAAAGAAACAGATTGAAAAGGTTAAGGTAAGGTCTAAGGCGGAAATGTTGCTATATGTAGAATCATAGAAACACTGTTATGAATTTACTGTTTTTTCTTGATATTTGTGGTGGTTTCGTTCACATGCGGGGATCTTTGTCTGGCACGGGATGCTAGTAGTTGTGGACGAAGCAGCGAGTATATGTGTGTTGGAGGTTTGAGTCTGTGGCTCACTGGGATTGGTGGGCGGTTTGAGCATGTTGTATGAGGTATGTGTTGTCTGATTGATTGTATTGTGGTGCTTCGTTGTCCCCCAGTGTTTGGTGTGTTTTTGTCTTTTGTCCGTTGTTGTTGTTTGTTTGTTTGTCGCTGGCCTTGGAAAGTTATGGATGTGGGCTTGTCGTTCTGTTCGTTCTATCGTTGTTGTTTTGGACTTGAAATTCCTGCGAGTGGATTGGGGCGTTGCGGGGGAGGGGATGTGTATCAGTGATGGCGTTCTTTTTTGTTTGATATTAAATCGGTATATTTAAATTATGGTAGCTTGTACATCCTTTTGTTCCCCTGTATTTGATCACAGCAGTATAATCTGTCCATCTAATATGTCTTCCATGATCTGACGAAATTCTTATGTATCTCCTGTTGTCAGTTATGTAATATTCAGCCAATCATATGCTGTTTATTAAACGTTATCTCTGTGGAATGCATCGTAATATACTAGCTTGTATAGTTCAACCACTGTTAACGTTTTGCTACTGTGTCATAATCCATAAAACTAATCAACCCTCCGGATGCAATTTGAGGCCACAGAGGCACTATATTTTATTCTGTCTGTGCTAGTAGAAACATGCCAGTAGTCTGTGAATATGTGAATATAAAAAATCCATAAACGTGTGATATATTAATGTCTTCACTCTTGAAATAACTAGGCACGTTAAGCGCAAACATCGACCTGACTCTACGCCCCTGAAAAATCAAACCGAAACATCTACCTCAATCCTCTGATAGAGGAGACAGATGTTTCAGACTAGTGAAAAATCTGATAAAAAAATTTGCAAATTCAATTCACATTTCGTAAGCAGTAGCCTAAAATTAATATAAGAGAATGTATTTACCTTAATCTAATAGTTGTCATTGTAATATCTCTCCATTAACTTTAATATCCTTAGAATAAAATATCGCTTGGTCTGGTTAGACCCTAGTCGGAATTGACGCCTGGTAGAGGGTCTGTAATCTAATATGTCGACAGACGTGATGTACCTTAATCTGAAATGTGACCTGGCCTGATTCTCCTTAGTGGTGATAAAAGAGAAAGATGGACTTGAACAACAGACGTACGCCATAACAAGGTGACATAACTTCTTACATAATACAATAAGTTAAAACGTCATCGAGACATTTAAACTATGATGGACGAGTAATATTGTAAGATGCAGGGTCAACTAAGACGAGAAACGCGGTTGAAAAATGGCCACTTGAGGATACCCTGAAAAGATTTATGATATTGAACGCAAACATGTGGAAAATGAAATGAAATGAAATAAATGGAGTTTAACGTCTATTTTTCTGCACCATGTGGGCTTAAAGATTTCATTATCGGGAATTACAGGAACCACAAATGTCAGAATCGTATCTAAACTTGATTTTTCAGCTTGGGAAGAGGGGGGAGTGGGGCAAAAGTTATATATCCGGAGGGGCAATTGGGTGTTTAGTTGCAGTGACGATATAAAAGGGGGGGGGGGGTAGCTATGGGCCCTAATCAGAAAGAAAACTGCATGGTGCAAATAGTAGCTATTAGTTTTTTCACGGATAATAATATATAAAGCTGTAAAACCTCTGTATAGGTATATCGATGCTGCTGCAAATGATAATATGTCAAGTAGCATATCTAGGTATTAGCTTTGATACCTGATTTACACCAACTTTTTAATTAGATTGATTAACACCAAGTGATAATTACTGACTTGGAGAAAATTTACAGATAGTTCTCATATCAATTTTGACAGTATGGTATGTAGTCAAAGTGATACTACGTCTTAGAATGAACATAAAATTTAAATTCTCAAGAATGGTCAATATGAGTCTATATTCATCAGTGAACCTGGTGTCATAAAGTTACAACAGAATCCCTGTAAAATCTGGAAAATTGGAAAATTCATAAAACTAATTAATTATTGAAAAACGCTTAATCTTGATATCAAGCGTTTTTCAATAGTTAATTGAATATTCAAGGATAATTACTAAGTTTTTTTGATTTATTGGATTAAATAAGGATCCTGTTATGTTATTTATGACACCAGGTATATCTACTGGCTCTTATTCGCTAAGTTTGAAATTCTTCAATTTTATGTTAATTCTAAGACGTATTATCACTTTAATGAATAATGACTTCCATACAATGTTTATTTGGGGGTCCCAATATGTCAAACTTACACCCTTGTATGAAGCCTGCCCGGGACCGCGAATCGATCATAAACATTGTAAAATTAGCCATTAATTTTTGTCCTTATTTTCATTTCATTATATTCAATTCGTGATATACAATTTCAAAACTTAGTATAACAAAATATTAGGAAGATCATCATTAGTAAGTCCATTAAGTATTAGTCTCTATACTCTATTCTGTTTCCATTTACATGTATACTAGAACTGATCCGCATGTCCTGTGAGCTGAAGACTAATAGAAAGCCGCATGTCCTGTGAGCTGAAGACTAATAGAACGCCGCATGTCCTGTGAGCTGAAGACTAATAGAACGCCTCGTGCCCCGTGAGGTGAAGACTAATAGAACGCAACATGCCCTGAGAGCTGAAGACTAATAGAACGCCGCAAACTCCATTATAACTTAAATCATCTGCATGACTTGAGAGATGAAAACACATAGAGCGCAAAACTCTAATTTCTTTGATCCTTGTATTGACCCAAGTGAACAATAAGATTAAATCAATAGAAAGAGGTTTACAGATAGGTCGTACAACTCCATTATTCAATTCAAGAATTGATGATGGGGGTGAAAGCCGACACAGTGCCGTATCGGAAGCATTTACTGTTGCATTAAATAGTTCTTACTTCGAGGACCATGAGTAAAAGTGATATTTCAAACGATGTGTTTGGATGATCACAATGAACTTCGACTTTGACTGCAATATTCACCTTTCTTGTATCCCTGATTTGATTGGATTGTATGCTAGTGAATACAGCCAATCAGGGGCCTTGACAGAATCATTTTAGCCAATGTTATATTTTAAATGATAAGTCAGTGAGACTGAGATAAGATGGTCGGGTTATACAATTTAATAAAGCCGATGAATTAATATTGCTGTATGTCTTTACACCTGAATGTACCCACAACTAGCAGAATGTGATTGATGTGGTACAAATCTATGTTGTTTTCTTATATAACTATTATGACTACTAGCGGTAAATCACTGTCTCAAATAGTTTAAACAGCGGTTTGATTGAAGTCATCAGTTATTGAACCAACAGGTGCCCTACCTGTAGAATGAATAACGAGGAAGCGAGCAAATGAATGAATGAATGAATCATGAATGTATCAGGATTCCTGGATAAATGAATGAATGAATGAATGAATGAATGAATGAATGAACTTACCAACCAAATTTCAGTATTGCGTCTCTGCACTATCATAATCAACATTGAAAACTAGTACGTAAAACTCCATTTCATTTCAACATAGGTAAATGCTAAAAAACAAAAACAAAAACAAAAATACCAGTCTATTTACGAGAATTGACAACGAAAGATTTTTGAAGAAGATTTTGTATAGTTGGATTTAAACAAAATCTTTTGGTTATGAATATCTCTCTTGTTTACGACAAGTAGTGGCGTTTCTACGAATTTCATTTTCATTTAATTATTTTACATACTTCAAGAATTTGCCTCCCTGATAAATACTGTGGCCTAGCCAGCCCCCCCTCCCTCCCCTCTCCTCCTCCTCGCTTAATGTTTCCTAGAAATAACACTACCAAAGTTTGGTCATTATGTATTTATTTGACGCTATTGTGTTGCGCGGTCCTTATCTTGATCGGTGGGCTACAGAAATAAGTCTATTAACTACGTTAACAAATTATTTTTTTTTTTATTACGAAATAAAATACAAATTCCAAACAGTACATCACTTTCTTTATAGTCTGACCGTAATTTTAATTTCAAATTCGACGCCCTGTAAAATTCCTGTCGTAGTCGGCGTCAAAATAAAGCATATTTTTTTTATGTTATGTCATTAACTTTTTAAATCGTGGTAGTTTGCTCGAAATATCCTGACATTTGAACTGATTATGGCCACCAATCCCTTTCCTCGGTCTTCTTCGGATTTCTAAATCCATTAAAGGGACCGATGTGGCGATTTTTTTGACCAATCATACTTTAGTATCAGAAACGTTTTTCTTTAGCAAAGCCAATGAGTAGTAGTAATCATAGCTCGAAATTTCAGCCTTTAAATCCATGTGTGTCCAGAAATACCAGCGTTTGAATGTTACAATGACGACTCGTCAATTTAAGATATTTTGTGATATACAGAAAAGACATATATAGAAATAGTGAGCAAAATACATTTCGTACATTTCTAGTACTTATGAAGACTATTTCTGTGAATTCGGAACTAAACTCAACACCTCAAAATGGTGCATCTGCCCTTTTAGAGTTTGGACAGCTGTTTGAAGTTTCAACCTCCGTTAATCAAAGGGGCAGTATGCGAAATTTAATGTATTTAAGTACATTAAAAGTTAAAATATTTCTGAGGTATGTCAGTATTTTTAACTTCTATATATATACTCGAACATCATACACCTTTTAAATATATTTGGCGGCCTTAAAGATGGGTTTCCTTATTTCTTAGTGTCAAATTAAGCAAACTATTTGATTAATTGGTGTTTCTAATGAATTATCATGTATTATTAATCATATCATTATGTTCTTATTGCATATAATTAAGAGTTTTAACCAATCATAAATGTACATGTATGAACAGTCTGGATAAACAAAAAGAAAAGGCTTTTTGACCTTTCTTGATCGGTCACTCATTTGAATTCTGCTGATAATCCTCTTCTAATTTAGCTAATTATGAATTAATTATGGACATGTGAGACAAACTGGTATTTTTCCAAGTCATTAAAACACCTCTACATTCTATAAGTATTAGCATTTTCATTTTCATAATGAAAATAAATTAAATGAAATGAATGGAGTTTAACGTCCTATATATTGAAAATAAGGGAACCAATTTTTAACTTCAAAATTTAAGTCACATTTAAGTCTACAGTTTCCATGAATTCAAGCACTTAGCTATTCCCCAAAATCAGACTGTCCCTTTAAAAATATGTTTATTTTTTCGTTCACAGAACTCTCCATTTAACAACCATCTTCACAACTAATACGACCTTCATCTTATACCTTGACTGCAATGGCCACCTTTCTTTGATCACGGAAGACAGATTTGATTTACGCCAGTTAATACAGCCAATTGGCGCCCTCGACAGAAAGACAGTAGGTAATATACATCAAGGTTTATTGTTTACTGATGATTGGCTGTATTTTCTAGAATACAATGCAATCTCTTTGAAACAAGATACGTGGCTATTGACGTCTCGGAATAAGACACGCTTACACTTTTCGAAACACCTGATGGTACTTCTCTCTGAGCAGTCCACTACTACACTACTTTTACTCTCGATTTTTCCATACCTTGGACGAGGTTTTGATTAATGGAATTGCTTGTACGGATTTTTTATTCGTAATTGTTTGACATTGTGAAGATACGAAACAACCGTATTGCTTATCTGAGTGTCTGTTGATCTAGAATCAACTACATTTGATTTAGATTGGTATCTTCAGCATTTGTCATTCATTAATATATTTCATTAAATCAGGATGCTAAAATCAATACTTGACGTCAAAGGAAAATTCAAAAATCAATTTTAAACAATTATAACCAATGACGCTGTGTGTAATTATTTGTTGCTGGATATGAATTATCAATAGATATAATGATATAAAGATCGTTTATTTGTCAATATCATGGTACTAGAAATAAACTCTTACATGACATGATATGACATGGTGTTATTCTCATTTGTTATTCTGTATAGATCATTCATTAGTTCTAGCGTTTAGATATTTATTTTTTGATATAATAAAAATATATTATAATTTTTAATAACGATGGAATATAAATGTTGTCGTTATATTCAGTTTTTCTAATTTAGTGTAATTTCCATTCTTTCTGAATAGTATTCCAAATTTTCAAGATAACTTTTAAAGGGACAGATGCGGCATTGTGTTTTGACCAATCATACTTTACTTTCAGAAACGGGAATTTTTAGCAAAGCAAACCAGTGTTCAAAGCTCACCGTCGAAATTTGAGTCTTCAAATCCATTTGTGTCCATAATTATCTGTTGAATCTTAAAATGAAGACTCGTCATTATAAGATACTCTGTGTAAAAAAAATTTTTTAGTAAATCTCCTTGTTTGAAGTATTCTTAAAAAAATCATGCGATTTTCGTACATTTCTAATACTTCTGAAGACTATTCACAATTATATTCAACCCCTCAAAATGCCGCAAATGTCCTATTTGTTGTCCTTCAAGATGGGATGTCTTTTTTCATATCATCTCCATTTGTTATCTACATTTAATGTGACATGGAAAAAGCGTCTAGTCTTTCGGATGGGACAATAAACCGAGGCCCCGTGTGGTACAGGCTGTGCACGTTAAAGATCCCTCGACAGTTGGAAATCGAAAAAGAGCAGGCTAATGCAGCTCTCCTGGCAAAATTTCCCTCATGGCACCCTGCATGGCGTTACCCGTCTTCATTAGCCCACAAGGTGCATAAGAGTAAGACGTAAAACTCCATTCATTTCATTCTTACATTTAATGTGATTTCCAGTTGTTATTCTTTTAAGATGGGCCTTCGATTTTGATATGAATGTAATTTGTTGTCCTTCCAAGATGGGACGTCCCATTTTAATACGAATGCCATTTGTTATCCTGTCAAGATGGGACGTCTAATTTTAATATGAATGCCATTTGTTATCCTTTCAAGATGGGACGTCTAATTTTAATATGAATATAATTTGTTATCCTTTAAAGATGGGACGTCCATTTTAATATGAATGCCAGTTGTTATCCTTTCAAGACAGGACCTTCAATTTTAATATGAATGCCAGTTGTTATGCTTTCAAGATGGGACGTCCCATTTTAATATGAATGTAATTTGTTATCCTTTCAAGATGGGACGTCCCATTTTTATATGAATGTCATTTGTTATCCTTTCAAGATGGGACCTTCAATTTTAATATGAATGTCATTTGTTATCCTTTCAAGATGGGACGTCTAATTTTAATATGAATGTAATTTGTTATACTTTCAAGATGGGACGACTAATTGTGATATGAATGTCATTTGTTATCCTTTCAAGATGGGACGTTTAATTTTAATATGAATGTAATTTGTTATCCTTTCAAGATGGGACGTCTAATTTTAATATGAATGTAATTTGTTATACTTTCAAGATGGGACGACTAATTGTGATATGAATGTCATTTGTTATCCTTTCAAGATGGGACGTTTAATTTTAATATGAATGTAATTTGTTATCCTCTCAAGATGGGACGTCCAATTTTAATACGAATGTAATTTGTTATCCTTTCAAGATGGGACGACTTATTTTAATATGAATGCCATTTGTTATCCTTTCAAGATGGGACGTCCAATTTTAATACGAATGTAATTTGTTATCCTTTCAAGATGGGACGACTTATTTTAATACGAATGTAATTTGTTATCCTTTCAAGATGGGACGACTTATTTTAATATGAATGCCAGTTGTTATCCTTTCAAGACGAGTGTCCTATAAGATCTAATATGAATTTGTTATTTTTCATTGTTAAAGGTTCAACTTAAGTACCATGTTTCCTATCATTCAACCTTAAAGGTTTTCATTACATTTAACCAACTGCAGTTTTAACGGATTGATTTGCACTTTTCCACCTTTAAAGGGACTTTCCGCATTTATTGTTGGTCAAATTTTTTTTCTCAAATTTGTGAAAACTATACACCAAAAATCTAGAGAAATATGTCTTTTAACGTATCTGAAAGTTTTAATTAAAGCTTTTTGGAGGATGTAAGAAAACTAATGTACGGAATTTTGTAAAATAAACTCCTGTGTATTGTAAAGGTTTCAACTAATAATAACGAGCCATTATAAGGCCAAATTCCAAAACTAAATCAAACTGCTTAATTAACAATAAGTACTCTCCGTTTTTAATGAACCATTTTATAACAAATTCAGTTTGATCAAGAAGATAAATAGATATAAATAGCATACTGTAGAAATATTTTCAGGTATAATTTGCAAGAAAGCCGAATATCCCTTTAATCAAAGCTTAATATCTGTTTTCTGTTAATTGGTAATTTTCAATTTCCAACTTTTTTTTACCTGATTTATTTCTTCAATATCCAGCAGTAACGTCAATATACGCAGATTCGGAATCATAACTGTGAAATATTTATCTGTGTTGCTAGGTAACAGATGAGTTTTTAGTTTGTATAGGATATAGTACCGAAGCCTAGATGTAGAACTGTTTTATACACGAGAGTCATTGTTAAATAGAGTTGAAATTTTGAAACAAAGATATCGTTAAGGTAAGTAAATGACTCTTAAATTTGTGTCTGTGTTGGTACTTCAGAGTCCTTTAGGTGTTCCTGAACACATTTCATTTCCTGTAAGCACGTGTTCATTACTCGATCTGGAAGCAAAGTAGCAACTGTTTAGAATTATGATGCTATTATCAAAATTATAACATTTTCATCACAAAATCGCAAAAACTGTTGTAAACTGCTTTGACCTGTGTGTTATTATCAGGTCTCAATGCTTCTGTCAATGTATCTGGTCACCCCATCAGACACGGGTCTGTTCGCTTCTCCAGGCTGTCTATTGTATTGTTTATTAAATACTGGTAATTGTAAATTAATTTGCTTGATATTCAAAGCCTTTTTATTTTCCTAGAGGGTAAGGGACTGGGGCTGACTGAAACATAAAATAGGGCGACCGAACTTAAGTCGAATGTAAAATAAGACGAATTAAAGAAGCGCGAAATCGTTTTATTATTATGTTATATACGTAGATATAGACTAGATTATTTATTTACACACTTGTTGTATTATTCTACTGATCACAGGATAGGCAGAAATAAACTAAGAAAGTACAAACTCTAATCACTGCCAAACCTCATATTACATTATGTTCTTTTACCATTTTATGTCATTCTTGCGTGATACTAGACTGACTTTGTTCTCATTATTCAAAGTTGTTGCTCTAGTATATGTGTGTGGTGTTACCACGTTGAAAACTTTAGTACATACTGTCAAAATCTTCATGAAAAATTACAATAAAGTGGGATCAAAATTTAAGTCCTGAGGTGACGGTCTTAGTTTGAAATATGTTAAACACAAGCAGTCTTGGTCGCCGATTTTTGTCTCCGACTCGAATCTTGAGTTTGCCCGCGCTCGAACCTTACGTGTGCCCGCGCTTCCACGACAAAATTAACGCGATGGCGATAGGACTTATAAATCAAAAAAGTTTGATATTTGTCGCCGATTATTCTTTCATCTGCAAGACAGAGCGTCATCATCCAATCTGATTAATTTTCCTTTCAATTGCATGATCCGCACATGAATATCGACATGTCGTGTGTGCCCGCATCCAGTCGGCGAAACTCATGACAAACATCGGCGACCAAGACTGTTCATGTGCTCGCACCCTTAAAATTAACTGACAAAATGTGATGTTTGTGAAGCTGTAGGTGCGTCTTCTTTTCTTTTGATCTCGTCGTCAAGATCTGTGTCTACCAGACATTGAACATTAAACTTCACTGTCGAAATTTCAAAAAACTTCGAACCAATATATTATAAAGGAATTTATGTACCTATAAAGCTTTCCTAAAATATCCATTTGGCCTAAAAATAAAACACTTTGGTTATTTTGAGAGTATATTTACGTTTTACGGCCAATTGCGTTTTAAAGTTGAAATATGACTTAACATTTTGACATCTTTAAGAAGTAAAGACAGTGAAAATATGTTTTTATGTGAAAATTTACTCGATATTTTACTAGTGTCTTTGACCTCTCAATTCGTCAACCTACTTTTTCTTTCATAAAACAACTTGTGCTCCGAGCACAGGCAACAGAATTTTTCTTATCTTGAGGAGGACTCGAACCCACGGAACCTAATCGCCGTCAGAAGTCAGAAGTGGGTTAAGTGTCCTCTCCAAACTAGCAACTCCAGATTATTTATCGATAATTTGTTGACGATATTAAAGGTAAAGATGCCGGTTGAGAGGGGTTTCACTGTATTCCTATAACCGAGGAATTGTAACTTGTATTGTTCTGTATATTTTCAGATGTTGTTAATCAAGACCGGTGTGTTATTAATCATTCTGTTCAGTTTAAATACACTTTGTGGTAAGTATTCTACTGTTTTCCTCAGTCCTGGCATACACAAAAGTTTGGTAAATTCACCGTAATCCGTTTATAAACCCTTCTTTCGATCCAATTTCACCCAACCCTGTTCGTTTTCTTTCTGCTAGTAGTGATGTTTGTCCTTATAAAGACGTCTTTTCGGTCTAACTTTCAAGAATCTGTGGTTCATAATACGTTATTGGAGGAGAAAACGAACAGAACCAAGTGCCAATTAAATATATATTGTATGCATATTCATTATTTTTGACTTTAAGGGGATTGGTTTTATGACATGGTTTCTGTCGATCAACATAAGGCGATAACTGAACATACAGGACCGTTACACAGTAGCGATCATCAGTAGCGTATGGATGTATATAAAACTACAGTTCATAAGTTTCCAAATGCAACTATTAGGTTTTAAAGGTTTGATTCAACAGAAAAGTGATCGCAGACACACGCACAATAGTGGCGTATTCAAGCAGTAATTTTTGCTTCGTCCACTTCCAATCATGTTAGATGATTGTATTATCCGGCTTCACACATTAGAAAATGGCTATGGGGAGGCCTTTTGACCACCCCACCATAACTAGTGCACCCCCACCCCCCCCCCCCCCCCCCCATCTCCCACCTCGGTCAATGAATCTAGATTGCGGTTACTATTAGTACATATTTATCAACAGGAAGTATGTTTACTAGTAACCTGTCAAGACCGGTCAAAATGTCACGTTACTGGCTAAACATCTTTAATATATGATATATGATCAAGTCTTCGCCTAGAGATTATTGGGGCGTTTAACTTTAAAAGCCTGTCAGGGAAATTACCAATACCTTTCAACTGGTGTATGACGCAGAATCTAGATTTAAAAAGGGTATTTCCAGTTTTGAGACGTTGTGATTAGTCGATAGTAACCTATTTATCAGTTAAATGTATCGAGTTATAGGCGGTGCTCTGAAAAGTTGCAGGTCGAGTTAATGGTTTCACTACTTCTGTTTTATACTATGTTAGTCGACGTCGTTTTTTGGGTTCGTCATCATTTTTGCATGTGTCCACTGCGGTTCACAAAATATTATATTCGATAATTCATTTCTTTGAGACTTGCTTTCAGCTGACCAAAGATAAAACAACGTTTGTAAACCCCGTAACTGTGTAGGATTCTTTTAATCAATTTCACACAATATCAAGACAATGCATGGTTTTATTAATGTGCTTTTTAAAACTTTATAAATCAAATATAGAGGATATGATATACAACTAACTTTGACTAGTGTACACAGCATCTTTAAAAACATCGTGTGGGGGATTCCAAAATTAACTGAATTTAAAAAAATTCAAATCTACTGTCTCCTGCCCTACCGATTTTTTTTTAATGTTAAAGAAATTGTAAAGAGATTTTCTGAATTCTACCAAAACTAAGTGTTATATGACGTCATCCCTGCAAAGATCTTAATTATGTGATACAAGCAAAGTTTGCGGGAACGACGTCATAAAACATTTTGTTTTAGTGGAACTGCAGGAACCACAGACATCTGAAATTGGAATGGTTCAAAATGATGCTATCTATCTAAAAGATTAAGAAGTCCTCTATACAATCCCTTTAAACTTAAATATTAAATTCCATCAGTGCCGATAATCTTGGAATGACTTGGCGTTAGAAGGAATATAAACATGACACATTTTAACCGTCAAAACTGAGTATATGTCGTTCGTACTTGTTGAACTTCCAGTTGTCTGTTTCTGTTTTGAAACCAAAAGGTAATCTAGATAATGATTCTGCTCATATTTTATTTCTGAATCATACTCGACTATATCAGAGTTAAAATTTGAACTGTTTATACTTTGAATCGTACCCGGATATGCACAAGATATTTAATCGAATATATAATTACCACGGCAATATGCACTATAATCAGTCAGATGATTAACAACATTACTGGCTGTGTTTTGACACCTGTTGTGTTTATGTCTTGTAATTAGGTTTACCTACTTATTTTGATGTACGTTTCAAGGCCAAACAAATACACAAAAGCCAACAGATTAAGTTTGATGCATTCGTGAGAAGAATGTTGGTTGTAATTATAACTACAAGCTACTTTAGATAATCATAATAATATTTATAATAACTTTATTTTTACAATCACTTTATACAACAGTCTAATTGTCAATAGGTCGAACAAAACTACACATCATATACAAAATAACATAAAAAATGAGATGAAATAAGATTTGTTTGATGAGGTAACAGATCGATGCACCAAACCCAAGTAAAAACTTAGAATTATTAGCCCTCTGAACAGTTAATGTTACGAAACAAGGTGTACAAAATGATAAACATATATATGATAGAAAATAAGCTTTTTGGATTCTACAAATTGATGCAACCTAAAAGAGATTGTAAGGCGGCATTCGAACATTTGTTTATGTTTCGGGGACACTGATGGAATCAATTTGCATCATCGGTGTCTCCGATACACACTTTTATTTAGAAAACTTCTTTACGAGCTCTTAAACATTTTAGATGCCACGGCCAATGCTTTCGAAAGTTGGCTTTCAACCCCAATCACCTAACACCCTGGCAAATATTAATTGCGGTGTTCTCAATAAACCATTTTATATTATGTTTTTTCCAGACTCGTGCGCCTGTGAGTTCCATCCTGTGCTATCTGGTAAATGGTTTTTTACTGGTGAAAATAAAAATATCAACATCAAGATCCACTCTAAAATTATAGTGTTTAAAGTCTCGAACTATTTAAAACTACGGTATAAATGTACAGAGAGATACGGCAATATCTATCTATTGAGGTGAGTGAATTTACAGGAATATTTCCTCTTAGAGTGAAAATGGGTACATATACCATCAGAGTATAAGGGATTAAGTTAATGTTAAGTTAATTTGGAATTATTACATAGTTTTATGGATTTATTGGATTATATAAGGATTCTAATGTATAGTTATAACACCAGGTATATCTACTGATGAAATTAAACCTTTATTTGTATAATTTGAGAATTTTATGTTTATTCTTAGAGGTAGATTTCCTTTCAGATTTGTTCATGAAAGGGGGTTTTACGTCCATCCATGTTGAAGGTAGTCTTTCAAAATGAACTGAAGTTTTACGTCTAGTATATTTCCAAACCATACTCTCTAATAACCCTTGTTGGTAGTCGACTCTAAAAATGAAATAAAAAAAAGTTTTAAATCCAGTATATCTTCCATATTCTCGAATCATCTTTATTGTCAATCAACCGTCATTTTTATTACAAATACTTATTAATATTAAGATTAATAAACAGACTGTAAACCATAGTGGATAGAATGTACTAAAACTTATGAATGTTGTTATATCATGCAATGTACAATGAGAAAATTTGAGAGGATCCCAACCCAAGCTGTAAGGTGTTAAAGGGACATTCCGCTTTTTTGTACGTTGAAATTTTTTTGCTCAAATTTGTGAAAACTATTAACCAAAATCTATTGAAAGGAATCCCATAATGTATCTGAAAGTTTTAATTAAGAGACCCAGCAGTTAATTTATTAACACCAAAACTTTAAAAGGTTAAAGGCTGTTTGAAAACCCAAGATGTAAGGTGTTTTTTGTAGGTTGAAATTTTGTTGCTCAAATTTGTGAAAACTGTAAACCAAAATCTAGATAAATATACCCCATAACGTATCTGAAATATGTCTCCTACTTTTTCTGAAGATTTCAACTAAATATAACGAGTCATTATGAAATCAATCATCGAAACTAGTTCAAACTGCTTAATCAACAATTAGTACTCCTCGTTTGATCAAGAAGATACATAGATATAAATAGCATACTTTAGAAATATTTTCAGGTATAATTTACGACGTTTTTGACAATTTTACAAAATGTGGAATGCTCCTGAAAGCGTCTGTTTTATAATTCCTATTGACAAGGTATCGTGTAAAGTATGGTATAGCTCAAGGCTATGAGGTTCGTAAATGATGCTAACAAGATTTCATTTTTTTCCCTTATTTTTGAGTATCGTTAACCGCTGACTTTCAATCGCAGTGGATACACTCGGCGTTTTTACAAAATCAGTCCTCTATATTTGTGAGAGATTTTTTCAAATTGTTACCATGAAATAAATCTAAAAGTTCTTTTCGCAAGTCGTATTAACAAGAGGATAAAAACTTCGTATTTCGAGGGTTTTCGTCAACAAAACGTTTTTTACCAAGATAGTCCTTGTTCGAGCTAACTCCGGAGAACACCTTTTTCATAAAGTAACTATAAAAGGATTTTTGATGGTTTCCTTGTGACTAATAAATCATATCACCATGGAAACTGTGAATTGAATCACCATACACCATAAATTATTAATTTTCCAAATATATGATATGACGTTATATAAAAAAACATAATTATTAGTAGAAAATTGAGGATATGTCAAAATTGTCAAATATTGTATTATTTGTGATAGATTTGATTCGTTTTCTCTACACTGTGTCTCGAACGGATATATCGCTTGTTTTGACCTTTCCTGGTTGGACAAATTGTTTTTTTACGCTTTTGTCTTTTGATAATGATTAAAAGAAGAATAAATTGGCTGATCTACGTCTGTTTCCTTTCCGTCGTTAATTGATGTTTAGTTGTACAGTTGTACAACAAGTGTGTGTTTGATGTAAAGGGCATCACCCAAATCATTACCATTACCGCTCTCACATCAATTTACTGACGGTAACAAAAACTAATGATAATAACTGCAATATTAGCAGAGTGGAGTAATTCAGACAAAGTACGGCTCCAGATGAATTAAGATACCCCCCCCCCCCCCCCCTCCAAAGAAACAAAAAAAAAACAGGGGAAAAACAATGAATTACATGCATTAGAGATTATGAATAACGGGCAGTGACTGTAATCACTTGCCCTTCTACATCCGTTTGGGGACATTGTGGACGAATTGAATAGTTAGTTAAGTCAGACTTTAAAAGGACCATATCCCTAACATTTTAGTCCCCCCCCCTAAACAAAATTTATCATATTTTGAATAATTACACAGATGTAATAAATAAAATGCTGGTCAAACAATTATAAAATATTCACCGTTTTGACCTACACTGTTTTAGAATAAAATAAACGTATTGTTGTCGTCTTCATTCCTACCAGAACCCATTATCGCATGACAAGGAGGGTATTATCTAAACAACCCCCCTCTCACGTACAAGACAAATTGTTTACAAATTGTTTTAGGAAGTTTATGAGTCTGTCTAGGCGAAATATAATTTGTCATCTAAGCAGAAAAATGTTCTCGAATCAAAGACGATTGTTTTTTGTCATTTTTTTTTTTTGACATTTTTGTGGACTGTGGTTGAGAAGATATTTTGAATTTATTTTGTTTTGGAGACGATAAACAAACGTGCTATTCATTTCGACTGGTAAAAATAAACTGTAGTTGTTTTTAAAGCAAGATGATCAATGTGTTTTGACTTATTTTCCTCCGACTTCAGACAAACAGTTGTTTTTCATGTTGGAAAGGATTGAAAAGAGGTTTTTCTAATATTTTTTGTGTATCAGGGTACCGATAGCATCCATTTGTACGGATAAAGTAAACCTTCAGATGTCTTCCTTTACACATCGATTTATCATTTTGTATTACAATACATGAAGAGATGACAGTATTTCAAAATATAATCTGCCAGTTTAAAGTTTGCACCCTAGAAAGAGAGTACAGTCTCACAAATTTCAATGAAACTCACTAAGTGACACATATAATATTCGGAAATGTCCTCTGAAGACAAATAAAACACACATTTTCTGTGTTTGTAAATCTGGTTGTTAATTTACAGAATCACTGGCTAAACCATCTTCACAATGTCAAGATATTACGAACTACCTTGACTGCAATAGTCACTGTTCTTCTATAACGGAATGCAGTCATTAATTGGATTTTACTCCAGCGAATACAGCCAAAATATTATGACTTGCTTTTAGAATTTCTGTCAAGGGTTCTGATTGGCTTGTTTGTTAGCATGCAATCAGACCAAATCGCTGAATTTACAAACTTCCATGATAGAAAAAAACTTGGTTATTGCTGTCAAGGTATAAGACAAAGTTCGCAATAGTTTGACATTGTGAGGATGAGACTAAAAGGAACATCGCATTGCATTCTTTGCATCAAGAACCTATTTTTCATGTCGTCAAACTTTGAAGTATTCCGCTATCTGACACATCAGGCATCATTGCCCCTATTTTGACAAAAATAATTGGTACTAAAAATATCTCAGTCCACACGGAAGCTTGGAGGGGGCATAGTCTACCTATTTCTATCATAAAAAATATCAACTGTATTAGTGACACTTTACATCCGTCATCCAACCCCCTGTGAGTGGAGGTACAGGGGCTAGGGGCAGTGGCATTTTTATTATTAATTGGGAGATGGAATGAGGTCATATATTATCAAGGCTATGGCCCCTTGATCACCGTAGACTCGCCACTATGAAGGCGCTTGTAGACAATCGTTGTCGTTATGTTGCTTGCATTATGAACTAAAATATTTAAAAGTGAAATTGTGGGTTAGGGGATTCTTGTGGCGAGGACAGGCACTGAATTCTTTACTATGTAGCTTATTCACTGTGATTCATTTAACTTATACATGCCCATATATCACAACTGCTGATACTAATGTGCAATAAAACAAGCAAGAAAATTCCGTTAATTAAAATCTCGTCCAAAGTATGGCGAAGATCGAGAGTAAAGGGCAAAAAGTAAAAGTAAAAGTACCATCAGGTGTTAGAGTAAGCATGGTCTACAAATGTCGAATATTTAAAATAAGAATTTCGTCAGATTACGCAATCTACAATAAAGACATCTAGATCTGTATTTTAGTCTCGATTCGTGTTCTTTCTAAAGGCGACTTTGCTTATCATCCATGATCTAACGATTTTTTTTTCGATTTGTGTTCTGGGTCATAACATATTGAATGAACCATTCAAAAGCTCTGTTCCTTAAAAGATTTGGAATTCAGGATATTTACTGGTATGTTTAACATTGATCTGTATCGTCAGACCACTTTTAAGATCGTTTTTGTCAAAATACCGACAAGATGATTGGTTAAAATAAAGACGAGAGAAGGTGATTGAACATTTTCAACTTAAAATGTAATCTGTCTCCACGCCTGTATACTGGTCCTCGATCACAATACTGTCAATAGCAATAATAGCTTCTAGTTTTATTATATATATATATACTCATATATTTGTACTCTTAATAGTCGCCGATATCATCATTCGGCAATCCTCGGCAGTTTCCGTATAGCTGAATCTGTCTCGGTAATGAATGGTCAATTTCGTTGTTTCTTCTTGGTCGAGATTCTTTGCTTCCTGCAGGTCTCAAGTAATATATTCGGAGAGGCAATAGTGCATGGTGTTAAGTTGAAATAAGAGATCGATAGGTAAATAATCGAACGATTCCAGACTTGCTCGAGGGTATATTATTAGTTCTGTATCTTTTAACATGTAGCTGGTCAAATGTAAACTCT